TGGTCCCCCTGTTGCCCCCCACAATTCCAGAAAACAAATGAAGGGCAACAAGTCGGCCAAGGATCAGGAAGAGGTCTGACAGGCTCACGGTGGAGAGAAGCCAGCGGCAGCCCAAGAAGTTCAAGGCTGCAAGCGCCGCAAACCGGGGCAAGAAGCAAATCAAGCTGAGCCACATCTTCATGCAGGGGGTCAGGCCCACCTTGCGAAAAAAAAAAAAAAAAAAAAAAAAACAAGAGCCCTTTTGCTTTTGTTCTTCTTTTTTTGGCATAGGTTCCACCCTCTTTTGAGTTTTTAAAGGGGTCCGAAAGATGTTACCAAACTTTTGCCCAGCCGCAATGACTCTGGAATCCTCGGCGATCTGAATGCATTCGTCCACATCTGACACGTTTGGCGTGCAATAAAGCAAGGCATAGGCCAGGCGCACTGCCTGTCGCACTTCGGATATGCAGGTCAAGGTCCAAATGAAGAGCAGCGTGAAGGTGAAGAGCGGTTGGGAGAGCGGCACGCCGCAGACCTTTTGCTTCACGTCCATATCCTTGGTTGACGTTGGAAGGGGAGCAAAGATTTAACTTTTTGCAGTTTAGTGTAAGAAAAGGACATGTAAAATGTGGCTGTGGGTCAAAAATAGGTACCCAAAATGGATCCCTGGCAAATCGAAACATGGACTAAAACCTGCGGTTTCCTGTTGGTTTAATTTTGACCCATACCCAATACCCACATGGGTCTTTGGGTGGAAGCCCAAAAACGAGAAAAAGCCACGAGGAAGCAATTTGAGCGTCCCCGCATTCTGAGACCCTGTCTTAATGACTTTGGTCTCGTATTCCTTCTTGCATCCATTTGAATAAGGGGAAAGCAAATACTCAGTCGCCCAAAGGACCCAGAAATAAAAGGTTAACCTTTTGGGGCCTTTACTAAAGAGATAGACCAAAATTGGAAAACCAAAAGGTTAAAAGGTCGGCTTTGGGCAACTGAGAATATGTAAAGTGTTTCCCAACAACGGCCATGTATCCAGGTTGGAGAAGGACTGCTGGTTCGGCTCCTCGCCAGGCAGCCCGCGAGGGTAGCCGTTGGGGCTGAGGATGGTCTTGTCATAGACCGCCTCAAGTCCGACATGGCTGTGGGTCAAAATGCCCCATGGGAATGGCTGTGGGTCAAAAACAGGGTAACCCCAAATGAGTTGCCCTGGTAAATGGAAACTTGGACTACAACCTGCGGTTTTTCTGGTGGTTTAATTTTGACCCACACCCACATGGCAAAAGCGGCCAGAGCGACCCGCAAGGCTTACGGGGTCCGGAACCACATTGGTCTCAGGATGCTGGAATCATGCGCAGTCATAGGTTTTAGGGGAAATAGATGGCCCTGGTAGATGATTAAACCACCTGGTAAACCAGGAATCGCCATCGATTTTTCGACCAATACAACCAACAAGGACACCTATGTGACTGTGTTCTCTTGGTTTGTCCTCAAGCCCAAACGGCTTGAAGGTTTTTAAAAAGGCATCCAAGAAGAGCTCCTGCCTTCTCATAGTCGCCATAAACCTGCCGGATCTCCAGCATCGCCGGTCCGCAGAGCATCGAAGAGATGCAATATAGGAGGAACACCTCAGTCAGATGCCACAGAAAATCCTGCGTGCATGGCAATACCTGGTGCAAGTTGTTTCACAATCTGATGGCTGGCCAATAAGACATACATGCCATATATGTTTGTATATAGCCACATCGTATATATACATATATACATATATCATATAGATGTGTAAAATATGAATTCCCATGACCCCGCCTGAAGAAAAATGACAAAGCCAATCAGCAAGAGGGAGTACGCGAGGCGAACGGCGCGTGCAACCGGGCGTGAGGAGGTGCCGTCCCAAAGTTTCACATAATCTGCGCTGGCCTCCCGGGTCAAATGCCCATGTTCATTTGGTTTAGTAACTTTCTGAAGGTTAGAAAACAGTTTGGATGTGGCTTTTGTGAATCCATCTGTAGGATATCAACAGAGCACTAAATGATCTCTCTAAACGGACCAACAGGGGGAAGACTGGGTGAAATCCACAAAAAGCGCATCCAAACTGTTTTCCAGAAAACTTGCTTGTGGTTTGTGAAAAAAACTTCAAAATAATGGCTGGTATTTCGTCAGCCTCAGATATGAGAAGAGCATAGATGTTCTCTCCGATGGGCTGAGTGTGGGCGGCATCGGGCACGGACAAGGCCTCATCATCGGATTCGTCGAACCCCGACTCCACCTCGTATTTGGTCGACATTTCTGGCCGGCGCTTGCCTATTTGAGCTGAGATGGCTAAAAGGGTAATGTCTAGGCGAAAATGGCGGCGCGAACAGGTTGACCACTTTCACAGGCCGAACGCCCGCAACCTTCGCAAATCAAGCGGAAACGAACGTATTCAACCTGCGCCTTGAGTTATCTGCACGATCTGCGCTGCGCACCAGGGATCAGAATTGGTCCTGCCGTCCCTGTCCAAATCCTTTGTCAGCCGGAAACGTGCCGTTCGACAGCCCTGCAAGCACCATCTCTGCTGGATAGGCGCACGCGTGCGCTTGCCGCAACTCTCTCTGCGTGCAGTCCGCAAACAGAAAACCATCCAAATTCCCACCCCCCCACCCCCCCTGCAACAACTAGACAAACATACAGCAATGCCGATGGCGCTTGATGTTCCGCCCATGCCTGGTCATGTGAACAGTCGTTACCACATGACATACCTTTCGGTTCGCTGCAATACACTGGAAGGATGCTTAGGCGTTTGATGCCTCGGATGTGAACACACCCGGAAAGGTGCCTATGCCATCGTATCAGACGCCCACGCATTCTGATAGACACTGTTCGAGCAAACTGATTGAACTCTGAACGGCAACATTAAAAACTCGCCCTCTTCATGTTGTGTGCAGACGTGTTTAGAAGAGAAATCTTCGATCAAATTATTGCAAGGCATTTCGGCCAAAACAGGTGAACACCAGTGCGCAGCAACGCAAATATCCCCAATTCCATTTACCCAGTCTTCTCCACAAAGGGGACAATGCAACCATAAATGGAATTCCAGAATTCCAGGGACCCCCCTCCCACAATTGCATTTATAAACGGGGGGAGACTAGGTCCTCCAGTCGAGAGGTTAGAATAAGGTACCCTTTTTCTGTAGTCTATTTTAGTAGGGGAACCCTCCCAAAAAAGGGGGAACGGGCACACTGGGGGACCTAGGGGAGGTACAAAGACAGCTGGAAGCCAATCGCTGGCCAGGGAGCTGGGCAAACTCGGACATGGAGCCGAGCTTCCGGCAGCTGGCCATCCAAACGCGGCGGTCGAAGTGAGGGCTCGGCAGCTCCTGGACGCGGACGGACATATTTTGTTTGGCGACTTCCTGCGACCAGTTCCTCAGTTGCCCAAAGGACCTGGGACTAAAAGGTGATCACCTTTTGGGGCCATGACTAAATATGGACCAAAACAGGAAAACCAACAGGTCAAAAGGTTGGCTTTGGGCAACTGAGTTTCCCAAGTCCGAGCAGCGATGAGTCATATGAGTCGGGAAGACTGCAAGGACGTGTTCTCTCGATTTCGAACATGTCGATTTCGGTCCGAGCGACGGGCATGAGGTCCCGAGTTGGAATGCATGAGTGATTCGTTGTGGGCTGGGCCGTGAAGCCCCCCATGCAAACGTCATTCCTTTCAGCATTGTGGCGGTGACTTGCATTAGCTTCCACAAATATGGGCAGCTGTTTGGAGGGTACCTTTTATGCAAAAGGAAGCCACACATTTGGAGGGTTCCCCTTGCTTGAAACACGTTTGGAAATCCCCTCGTCCAAACACAGGATGGCAAGAACCCCAGTAGCTCACAGCTGCCGTCGCTTTGGTACACGAGTGACACCGGCGTCTTTGGAATAGACCCTCGTCAAAAAAGCGCAGCTTGCGTGGGAAGCAAGCTGTACTGCACAGCCTGGACTTGCCAACTTGGCTGCAAACAACGGCAAGACACACGGCTCCACTTCATCAATGAGAGCAACAATAGCTTTTGGCTTTTGTGCTGGACGACAGATTCCAAGCTCCGGTTTTCAGGCCTGCTCCTGGACCGGGGCAGAGGCTGGCTGCCCCATCCCGGCATGCCGTGCTGGGTGGCTTATGGCTTGCTCAAGGCTTTCGGCTTTCTGAACCCGAAAGAGGCGCTGGGGCCCTCGTTATGATCTGCCACGCCACGGAAAGGGCCAGTTCCGTAAGTGCCTTCAACCTCGGCTTTCTGTAACCGTGAAGTATGCCTGGGCTGAAATGTTCAAGAGCAAGTGTTGGCTTTGCCAACGGCTGATCAGCCAAAAGCAAAGCGACCACTGACCACTGAAAGGCTTCCAAATGTCACCTGCGCTGCATTGGCACGGCAACGCAAGTACTCATCTGCCATTCCAACTTCCAGGTTGGCAGAACGCAATAACATCTTTTGAGTCGCGAGCTTGCCTTTGTCCATTGTGTTGTCTTGGTTCAGGGTGCTCAAAAGCTCTGGATGTGTCGCCTGTTTCTTTGAAGCCGAGGCCCGGATCGGGTTAGCACCTGTGCAGAGTCAGCGTGTTTCTTCTGCAAACTCAGAAAAGAACTGGGGTCCTCATAAATCCCCTGCTAAAAGTTCAACTGTTAGCGGGTTGAATAGCAACCCAACCATTAAACCCCAAGCTAACAACCTAAGGAAAGGGATGACTGGAAACCACCAAGGGATTTGAGAAATCAAAGGATCTTCATGGGAACGTTTTCCCCGAGCTCTTGACAAATTGCGAAGTAGAGTCGGAATTCCTCATACGGTCCCAGAAAATGGTTGGCCATGTTCGAAGGAAGCATTCCGAGAAACAAACTGGACCATTCATGACAAGTCTGAGAAGTGAAACTGCACCCAGTAAACCTTCTTTGGGGTCCCCTTTCCAGGTTTCCCGCAAAAAGACCGGTGCCAAGGGGGGGCTGGGCCCCATTGTGCAGCGAACATTAGCGTTTGGTTTCACATTCCCTGGGCTCGGTGCCAGCATGGTAAAGAAGTGCGAGCTAAAGGCGTGGATCCGC